TGGTTGCTTGGGATTTTTAGGGCGAGATGGATGCCCAGGGGCAGCTCCCAGTGATGCTGTTGGTGGAAAACGGCAGAGAGGGGTGGGGAGCGGGAGTAGAGTTGAGCTCTTGAATTGAAGTAATCACTTGACAAAGCTTCACAGCAGGGACAGGGGAAATCTTGCAACACTTGATGCCAAGAAACCAGCCCCAGGCAGGTGATACCATGGGGGGGGTCTCTACTGTGGCCCCATTCCCTCATCCAGGAGCAGCACCACGGCCACCCCACATGCAGCAACCGCCGCGTGCTCCAGCCCCCCGGGGCCAACAGTTCAACAAACAACCAAAAAATAATTAAAAAAAAAAAAATGTGCAAATTGAGAGGGAGCCAGGGGGGTTGTGGGGACTGGGGCAGGGGGGTACCCTGGGTGCTAGTGCCCCTTGAGGTGAGCAATCCTTTTGAGCAGCTGGGTCTGGCGCTGCTGCAGCTGCCGCTTCTCGGCTGCCATCCGCCTCTCGGCACTGATGAGCGATTGCAGGTACTCGGAGGATTTGCTCAGGATCACCACCTTGGGCGTCTTGGGGCAGCTGGCGAGCCCGGGCACCTGGTCCCGCAGGGCCAGGAACCGCGAGCGCAGGTCGTTGCGCCGCTTGCGCTCCAGGTAGTTGTGGTTTTTCCTCTTGGCCACGTCCTCGCTGTCGGAGCCGGGGCTGCTGCTGAGCTTTGGCAAGCCGGGCTCAGGAGGTGTGATGGCAGGGACTGGCTCTGCAGCGCTCGGTGGCTCGTCCTCCTCCCGGTCCTGGTCCTGCTGGGGTGACTCCGGTGGGGGACAGGAGTCTGGTGGCGAGCGGGCGGCGTAGTTGTGCTGCTGCTGGTGGACGGAGATGTGGAATCGTTTCATGCAGGGGTCCAGGGGGTCTGCACGCAGGGTGATGGTCACCGGCTTCCTCAGGCTGAGCGATTGTCTCTTGTCCACCGTCACCACATCGATCTCTTCTCCTTCTGCTCAAAACAGACATGGCAAAGAAAGAACAAATCCCTGTCAGCTGGGAACCACCAGTCACCCCTTTGTGGGAGTCCCCAGAGCCCCCCTGGACAATCTCCCTGCTGCTGTCCCACTGAAGTTGGTCCATGCACTGAAAAGTCACTCTGTGACTTCCAGAAAGGACTATGTGATTTAAGTGCTCTTCCAATACCATTGCATGGAGAGGAGCAGAATTCCCTCCACATTCGTGTGCCTGGTCCCCCAAAATGGGACGGGGCTTTATTTCCGCCTCACTTCAGCACCAGGAGCAACATGTGTTCATGTAAAGGATCATCAGGCAAGAAACACTCGAGCCCTCCTGCTTGGGAGGGACTGGAGGAGCAAGATGCTGGGACAGCCTAGCTCCAAAGTTCATCCCGGTCGGGTGCTTTCATGGCCCATTGGAATTGTAAATGAGGGATGTGGGGGCAGAGCTGCCCTTTGTTCCTCTCGGCTGCAGCTTCCCACCTCGGTGACTTGTTACTTTTCACAAGTGATAAAGCCCATTCAACCCCGGCTTCCCGGGGACAGAGGGGACAATCCCCCACTGTGCAGGGGGGGAGGGAGAGGTGAAGGGGTCTCTCCAACAGACCCTGAACCTCAAAGGCATCCCAAGGCCGGGAACAGAAAGACCTAAATAAAGCATAACTGACCCCAAAGCACCCTGCCTGTTGTCAGTGCAGCTTGTCCTATGCCAGCAAAGCCCAGTGGCAGGAAGCTGGCCCTGGGGACAGCGAGGTGACCGGGCTGCAGGCACCCTTGTGACCACTCTCACTTTAGAAATGCGCCTCCAACTTTTTTCCTAAGCTTCGGGAGAAAATACAGCCACTCGCTAAAGGTGAAATACCCAAATCCCCGAAATACCCAAATCCCCACCAGCACCGTGGGCAGAGGCCTGGGCCTCCAGGGCACATTCCTGCTGGTGGCCCCCAGCCCACACCGCAGCCCCTCCAGGCTTCAGGGGCTCTGCTCAGCAAGCCCAAACCACCCTGCTACTGGAGACACTGGGGGGGTGGCACTCATTGCCCACACAGGCCGAGGGTCGCGCTCATCGGTGTCACAACCCGCCCGTTCTCAGCCACGTGGACACACACGGAGCCCCCCCCGCTCATTAATAAAAGTCGTGTCTCGGGGCCCCGCCCCTCGGAGCCGCCCATTGGCTGCCCGGCGGGGCAGACCGGCCGTCCCGCCACCCCATTGGCCGCCGCTGCTGTCCATCACCGCGCCCGCTCTCATTGTTTGCAATCTGTTGCTTTTTGTTCGGCGCCCACGTGGCGCGGCCGGACCCCACCGGGACCCCCGCGGCACCGGGACCCCGCCGGGACCCCCGCGGGCCCCCGCTCGGCCCCACATATTTGGGTTAAGCCTCTTAACGCCCGCGACCTGCTTACAGTGCCCGGGCTCCTTAATGGCATTAAGCGCCCTTCCCGCGCCGTGACTCACCGGCGCAGGTGGCGGCCACCGGCAGATTTATTAACGGGGTCACGGCACCGCGTCAGCCGAGTCAGCCCGGCTTCCGTGGGAGCGAGGGAAACAGCGCACGGCCCCCGCCGGGGCTGCGGGACTGGGGATGGGGGTGGTTGGAGAGCCCCGGGGGGTGTTTGTAAATAAGGATTGAAAATTGGTGCGAGACGGGGGAGATGCGGGGGGAGAGGGTGGAGCCACGTCGCCCTTGGCTGGTGGGTTTCGGAGGCATCCGCTTCCCAGGCCGAGCCCCCGTGTGAACACCCCCACGCGGGACAGGCAGACGTGCCCCGGGGCTGGGCTGGGAAGCTGATGCGGCTGTTCCTGCCCGTCCCACGGAGCCACCGCCTCGGGGGACACGCCGCTGCTCCCAAACCTGCTGCCCCCAGGGGATAATTTGCCTTTTGTCCCGAGGGAAGCCCGTCCCGGGTGGGCCGTGGGAGCGTAGGAGGAATCAGCCGAAGTTACGAGCCGGCAGCAGGGCACGCTGCGACGCTCGAAAAACCAAAACTTCCCACGGCGAGCTGCAAACTTGCCCTTCAACCTGCCCACGAGGCTCCCGGGACGAGGGAGACGGGCCACCAGAGCCCCACGCACCGTCCCGAGAGGGGCAGGGGGTTCCCGAGCAGAAGCCCCGCGGGAAGGGGAGAAGCCGAGCCCGCTTTGTTCGTGGGGCCGGGACCGGGGCTCGCTTGGAGCCTCAACAAAGGCGCAGCCCGGCTGGGAGGCTCCCGGCACGCACATGTGTGGACACGCGTGTCCTCCACGCCGGGCTCCAGCAAGGCTGGAGCGTGGCTGGGCCGGGGCAGCCCGCACCCGGAGCAGCTCCATCCCTTACCGGAGTCGCTTTGGCCCTCGGATCCCGAGGATGCGGGGATCTTGCTCTCGGCCAGCGGGCAAAGGAAGACGGCAGCGGGATCCACGCACTCGCTCACGGAGCTGCTGAACCCAAAATCCTGCGCGAAGGAGGGTTTGAGTGGGGTGGCTCTCTGCGTGCCCGTGGAAAGTTTCTCTGTCATCGCCTTCTCCAGTCTCTCCCGGGCTGAAAATCCGCTCCACATGCAATCCTTGAGGATGAAAGCGCTCAGGTTCCCGAAGATCTGTCCGGTCCCTATGAGATACTCCGGCTCTTCCCCGGCGAGGCAATACCGGGAGAGCCATCCCGAGCGCTCCTCCGCCCCCGAGCAGCACCCCTTCTCCCCGGGGGTACCCAGCGGGGACAGAGGGGGCGTGGGGACCAGCTCGAACTTCTTCCAGATGTCCTCGCTGGGAGCCGTGGAGCGGTGAAAATCCTCCTGGGCATCGTGGTCGTAGAAGTAATGCTGGTACGAGTCAAACTCCATCTCGGCATGGGGAAGGGGGAGACAGAGAGAAAAAACGGGGGGCAGCCCCAGGGATGAGGGGAAGCCCCCACCCCGGCGCCAGCCCCCAAACCGGGACCGCGGGCGCATTGTTCCCCCCGCTCTTATAGCCCGGCCGCGGAGCCCGGCCCCGCCCCCGCCAATCGCCGGGCCTGCATTTCATAGAGGGAGGGGCCCTGCCCTGTTCCCCGCCCCCCCGGGAGGGCACGGTGGGAGCGATCCCGCGGCCCCCCCGGAGCCCCCGGTAACGGGGCTCTGAACCAGCGGCCACCCCCTGCGCTGCGCTGGGGGCCTCTCGCTGTCCTGCCAGGGTTTGGGGGTCCCCCCCTCTGCAAGGAGAGGCACGCAGCGATGCCACCAGCCTGGGGACATTCTGCTGAGCATGATGGCAAAGCGAACTGGAGCACCATGGAATTATGGAATCAGAGTGGTTTGGGTTGGGAGGGACCTTAAAGCTCATCTCGTTCCACCCCCTGCCATGGGCAGGGACACCTTCCACTAGCCCAGGTGGCTCCAAGCCCCATCCAACCTGGCCTTGGACACGTCCAGGGATGGGGCAGCCACAGCTTCTCTGGGCAACCTGTGCCAGGGCCTCCCCACCCTCACAGGGAGGAATTTCTCCCCAACATCCAATATAAGATGGTGGGATCCGAGCAAGCCCAGCAGGATGCTGCATCTCTCCACTGCCAGGGTCCCTCTAGGAAGAGCAATTAATGTTATGAGGACATGGAGAGACTTGCACCTCGTGGACTAACAGCTGTGACATCATTGCACACACACACACACACACATGCTGGTACAAAGTCCACCTGGAATGAGCAGATTGCCCCCACAGCCTGTGTAAACCCACTTCAGCCCCAGCACCCTCCTTTTGCCACCCAGAGTGGATGGGGACAGAGGATCTGCCCCAGCCGGTGGCAGTGGGAGCTGGGAGGGAGGGGGATGCTGGGCACTGGTCCCTGGGATGCAGCATTGGCCATGCTGGGAGGAAATTGTCCCAGTTCAGCCACCAGTATAGCCCAGCACAGCCGAGTGCTGCCCAGCACTGCACAGCCCTCTATGGTCCTTCATACACCAGCACAGCCCAGTACAGCCCAGTGCAGCCCAGCCCTGCACGGCCCTTCCTGGACCAGCACAGCCCAGTACAGCCCAGTGCAGTCAGCCCAGTGTAGCCCAGCATAGACCAGCACTGCCCAGTACAGACCAATACAGCCCAGAGCAGTGCAGCCCACCATGGATCAGCACAGACGAGCCCAGCCCAGCCCAGCCCCGCACGAACCAGCGCTGCCCAGCTCGGTCCATCACAGCTCCCCCCCGTTTCCCCCGGTTCCCTTCGGTCCCTCCCGGTCCCGGGCTCCGTTCGCCGCCACCGGCGGGCGCGGGGCGCCACCTGCTGGGCCCGCGAACCACCGTCCGTGGGGCGGCGGGGACGGGGACGCGGCGGGGACACCCCACGGGCACCCCGACCCGCGTGGAGGGCAGCGCGGGGGGCCGGCGCTGCTCCGTGCCTCAGTTTCCCCGTTGCCGAGGCGGGCACGGGGGGAGGCAGAGGAGCAGCGCCGGGAGCGGGAACTGGGCTGGCGGCTGGCCCGGAGTCCTCACGCGGGTGGGGTGCCCCGGGGGAGCCCGACGTGTCCCGGTGTGCCCAAAGGCAGCTCCAGCCCTTCCCTTGCTGGCTCGGGGCGCAGCGGAGCTTGCGAAGCTTCACCAGGTCCCGCGTCTGGGAGGGTGCTGGTGCTCGCCCGGGGCTGTGGTTTCCCAGCCGCGGCGCTGCCGTGAGGTCCCCGCGGTGGCCGCAGCACCCTGCATGCCCTCCTGGCCCTTCCAGAGCAGCCCTGAGCATCCCAATCCTGCCCGCATGCCCGTGGGGCTGGGGCAGGAGCTACGGGATCCGGGTATACCCTTGGAGCCCGGGCTGATGCTCCCTCTCTGCTCCTGTCTCAGCGTTGGCCCCAGTTCCCAGCCCTGTCCCAGGCCAGAATCCTCCCACCCTAGGGCTGCTCCCAGTCCTTTCCCCTCCCCGGGAAGGCATCGTTGGTGATGCCCCCTCTTCCTCAGTAGGAAACAAATCACCCTGCACTGAGGGCAGAGACTGAGCTGCCACAGAGGCTTGTCCTGTCCCAGCACCTGCAGGGACAAGTGATCATGGCTGGGGACACGGCTGGCACTGCCCCAAACCGCCTGTTCCATCCAACACCAACACATCCTCGGGCACAGAAGCAAAGCCTCCTACAGCCTATAGCTCTCAGCCACGTCTCCTTCCCCCTCCCTGCTGCCCTCCGGGATGTCTCCGGCTTTTCCCAGGGTGAGGCAGGTGCTTGTCCCGGCTTCAAGGGGCTCCGGATGCTTTGAAGGTGCGGAAGCACCGCTGGAGAGGGCTGGAGGGGCCACGCAGCCCTTTCATCCCGGCCTCTCCAGGCACTGGGCAAACAGGAGCCGAGAGCCTCTCGCTGCGGCGCCGGCTGCGCAAACAGGGTGGGTGGGTGGGTGGATGGGTGAGAGCCCCGGGGGCTGCGGCAGCACTGCAGGTGACAGGGATGGAGGGGCCGCCCACGGGTCAGGATAACTCTTGCCGTGCCCCGGAGTCGCAGGGGAGTGGCACAGCTCCACAGCCAGCACCGAGCACGTGTCCCCGGCACTGGCACAGCCCCACGGGAGCTGCCGTGGCTGGCGTGGCTCCAGCATATGATGAAAGGCAGTTCCCCGGGGGCCCTGTGCCCTTTGGATCCCCAGTGACAGCAGGGCTGGACTTTGAGACCCCAAAGTGCTTCCCCACGGTGGGCAGCCACCCTGAGCCTGGTCCAGGGGCATCCTGAGCTGGGCTCTGCCTCTGGCTGTCCCCATCCTGCTGCAGCAGCAGCCTTCAAGCCACTCTGCTGTCCCCGTGGGGGTCCCAGATCCCCAGGGACAGCAGAGGCTGTGAGCCACGTGCCAGCACATCCTGGCCCTGTCTCATCCTGCTCAGCCTTGTGACTTGCTCCCCAGGGTCTCACACAGGAGAGGGGTGGGCAGCACAGGGCAGCTGCCACGTGCAATGTGTCCCCTGGGCAGCAGCCACAGGGGCTGGCTGGGTGCTTGTGAAATGCCAACCCGAGCCCCTTTGGGGTATGGGAGCACCATGAAATTCTTCCCAGCCCGGGTGGGGGACAGTGCCCACAGCCCCAGGGTTACGCCAGCCCCAGCTCTCTGGGCATGCAGCCACCCACTCTGAGTTTAGCAGAGAAGGACAGAGAAGGGAGAGGAAATTGCACCACTGGCTCCAGTTTTGCTGTCTCCTCCCCCCTCCAGACCCATTTTGCCCCCGTCACACCCTGCCTGGTGCCAGGAGGTGCCCTGAGCCCTGGAGAAGCTCTGTGACATTGGGGCAGTGCTCTCTCGGTGCTGGGGAGCCACACTGAGGCACTCACTGTGTCACCCCGGCAGCTCTGTGACCATCTCACTGCCATTTTCCCCCAAGCCCATCCTTCCCATCCTGGCTGGCCCAGCCTGGCAGGGCTGTCTGGTTTCAGGTGCTCTCACACTTGCTCAGATCCTGCTCTAGGCTGTGCCGGATGCATGACAGCAGGAGGTGTGGGTGGCAGGAGATGGCATCATGCACTGGAGCAGCAGTCCCCATCCCTCTTCCTTGTCCCCGAGGTCAGTATTTGGGGCTCAGCCCATGAAGAGTCCCCACTGGTGTCCCCATCTGAGGGATGTGGCACATTGTCACCGTCAAAGGGTATCTGAGCTCAGGTTGTGCCTGCCAGACCATCACACTGATGAAGGTGACCTTGGGAGTGGCCCAGCCCCAACCACCTGTACCTTGGGGACCCCAAACCTGGTGGGAGCTGCTGCACTGACACCCCCACAGGGATCAGCCCTTGGCAGTCCCTTTACTGCTGTGAGGATCCCCCAGAGCATCTGCTTGGGAGGAAGATCTCAAATCCCCCAGAGGAAATTGTGCAATACCAGATTTGGGGGAGAAAATCCTCCTAATCCTGAGAAATCCTGGTCTGTCTACTTCTTCTCTTCATATGTAAGGCTGAGCTCACCTATCTGTGATCTTTCCACACAATCTCCTTCTCAAAGGCCATCTCTTTGTTCCCCTAAAGCAGAGTTTGCCCAGGAGGTGGTTTTTGAGTGCTTTACTCAAGGACAGGAATGCCAAAAGCATTCCCAGGAGCTGAGGAGCCTCTGGGACAAAGGGAGCAGAGTAATAGTGCTGGGGTCACACACAGAGGGGAGTCTGGTCCCTCCAGATCAAGTGTCAGTCAAGTGTCCCCTCTGTTCCTTCAAAAGAGGTTTTTTTCTGTGGAAAGGGAAACTGAGGCAGACTTAAACACACCTCCCCTGGTTACCTGTCTTTGGGAACCAGAGAGCTTTGGGGGATCCAAATCTATGTTTTCAGAGTGGTGCAGGACTGTCTCAGGCAGGGACACAAACCCACATGAATGTCCCTGAAAGCGTCACACTGGAGGTGTCCCTGCCCGGGTAGGGGGTTGGAACGAGATGGTCTTTAAGGTCCCTTCCAACCCAACCCAGTCTGTGTTTCTGTGTCCCCAGTGGCTGCACCAGTGCTGCCCAGGGACATGGTCATTGCCAGCAAGAAGGTGACCAGGACCCTCTGCTCCACACCAGCACCCAGAGCCAGCACAGCACAGCAGGACGAGGAGCCAGGGGCAGGTCTCTCTCACACTGACCGGATGAGTGGCATTGTCCACACCTCACTCACCTCTTGTTTCAAGGTATTTTGCGTCACTGAACAAATTTGGACACTCTGAAGCCTCACCCAGGTCCCTGTCCCCAGTGGGTAGCAGCTCTGAGCTCCCAGTGTGGCCAGACACGGGGCTGTGACACACAGCAGCGCTGGGAGAACCCACTGCACGTGTGTGAGGGGCCGGAAACTGTGAGTCAGCAGTGACACCAGCTCAGTTCTGAAACCAGGGAGTGTACGGAGCTGCTGTGCCACTCACTGCTCCATGCCAGGGGCTGCCCACCCTGCTCATCCCCAGCACCCACTCAGGTTCTGCTGCGCCCCAGGTCTCTGTTGGGTGCCAGCTGCTCGTCCTCCCTGCCCAACCCTGTCCCCATGCCCAGTCCCACGCGGCAGTCAGGTGATGGCACTGGTGCCACGCTGGCCCCCTTGGCTCAGCCCTGCTCTGCAGTCCCGTCTTGGGGTGATCTTTGATCAGTTGCCTGAGCCAAGCAGAGTTGGTGGCTGTCACTGCAGTGACACGACACTGGCACTGGTCTATGTGTGCTCATTGGTTGGCAAACAGCACCTGGCACAGCTGAGAGGTGCTGGGATCTATGTACACGTCACCATCCAGTGCTGGGGTCACTGCAGCACTGCACCCTTTCTAGTAGGACCTGTTGTGATAGGGATGATGGTTATAAACTAAATTATTTATGTTAGCTATAGATATTATAAAGCTTTTTATGATGAGGGTGGTGAGACACTGGCACAGGTTGCCCAGAGAGGTGGTGGATACTCCATCCCTGGAAGTGTCCAAGGCCAGGCTGGACAGGGCTTGGAGCAACCTGGGCTAGTGGAAAGTGTCCCTGCCCCTGGCACAATGGGACGAGATGGTCTTTAAGGTCCCTTCCAACCCAAACTATTCTTCGATTTTAAGCGATGAAGAGCTGGAATTGAAGGGAAGGGATGGAGCGGGGGGGTGGGCTGAGGGGTAGAAGAATGCAGGAATGGAGGGATGAGGGGATGTGAGACAGCAGAGACGCAGAGGAAAGACGGGGACAGACGGGTGGGCGGACAGGGGGGTGGGGAAGGGCCGAGGCAGGAGAAGGAGGAGGAGAAGAAGGAGAGGGAGGAGGAGGAGGAGGAGGAGGCAGCCGCTCGCCGGGAGGCGGACGGGGGCGGGCCGGCGCAGCCCCTCCCGGGGCGGGCGCTGCCGGTACAAGGGCGGGCGGCGGCGGCGCGGCCCCATTCATCGCGCACGGCATGGCCGGGGGCGGCGGCGCCGAGCGGGCCGGGGCAGGGGGGCTCCTGCCCCCCCTCTGCCGCCAGCACCGCCGCAAGGTGAGCGCCGGGACCGCCTCGGCGGGGGTGGGATGGACGGGACGGGAGGGGACGGGACGGGGCATGTCGGGCCGGGGGGCGCTTCCCGGTGTGGCTAACGCCAGGTCCCGGTTGCAGGAGAGCCGCGAGCGGCTGTCGGTGTGCAGCAAGTTGTGCTACGCCGTCGGGGGGGCTCCTTACCAGATCACGGGCTGCGCCCTCGGCTTCTTCCTCCAGATCTACCTCCTGGACGTGGCGCAGGTATGGCTGGGACCGGGGCTGGCGGGGGGGAAAGGCCGGGGCCGGGGGTCTCGGAGCTCCCCGTGCCGCTTTGCCCGTCGGATGGACGTACCCGAGGCTTGGAAATGCCCCGGCCCCCGCTGGAATCGCCCCGCGGGGGCGGGAGTCCCTCCGGGGGCTGCGGGTTTCCCGCGGGCCGCTCCCACGCGTGTTGCTGTGCGGCCGCTCCGTGCTTGGGTTCCCCGCGCGATAAAACGGGCTGGTGGTGGCTGTTTTTGGGGGGGGGACAGGACGCGTCCCACGGGCCCGCAGCGCGCCGGGTCGGTGTGAAACAACGAAGGCAAGGAAGCCGCGGGAGAAGAGCCTGTGGGCTCCCTCGTGCTGGCTGCGGAGTGGGTTTGGGGAACTCTGCTCCGAGATGTGGGAGTTTGGTGTGGAAAGAGTGTGGTGGGGCAGCGCTCGGAGGGACTAGGCGTCCCCCCTGAACGAGCGGGAGAGACCAAGAGACTCGTCCCCTGCTCCCAAATGGCAGCGGGGTTGCTGTAGGTAGGGTTGGGAAGGTCCTGAGGGGCTCGGGAAGGGCAGCCGGGGGCACTGGGGGTTTGCATGTGCTGACACAAGACCTTCCTCCTGCAGCTGGATCCTTTCTATGCCTCCATCATCCTGTTTGTGGGACGAGCCTGGGATGCCATCACGGACCCCATGGTGGGTTTCTTCATCAGCAAATCCTCATGGACCTGCTTCGGCCGCCTGATGCCCTGGTAAGAGCTGCTGGTAGCACCCTGCATTCCCTGCCTGATGTGTCACAGCACTTTGAGTGTCAGCTTTGAGTATCCCCTGGCATGAGGCGTGCAGGGCAGGACGTGCTGACGCCCTGGCTCACCTAGGTGATGTGCCAAGTGCCCCAAAAAAAAGCCCAAGGTGCCACCAACAGCTGGGAGGCCTCAAGTTTGTGCGGGTTGCTTTGGCTGGTCAGCCTGACCTGGCTGACCTCCGTGTCACTGCACCTGTGAGCTCCAACCTCCCTGCTGGACTTTGTTCAGCGGTGGTGGCAGGGCCATAGTGCCAGCAGAGCAGATGGCATCACACCCAAAAGGAGGAGGGACGGGGGTGTGTGCGGAGGTGCGTGGTGGTGGGTGCTGGCTGACAGTCACGAGGGCAGGAAAACAGCTGTCATGGAGCTGGGTGACCGCACGTGGATGCTCCCGCCCGCCCTCGGGAGCGGGGAGCTTGGAGCAGATGGCATGGGGTTGGTGAACCCCCAAATGACTCGTGCCTTCACCCGGGGCAGATTTAGGACATCCATGAGCACCTGTCCCTGTGCGGGAGCGTTGCAGGGCGCTAATGCCTCGGTGTGGCCCTGGTGGCATGTCCTGTGCTAAAATAACCCCGGGCGCCTGTGGGATTGCTGAAATACAATGCAGCGAAGAGGGTGGGCATGGGGGGAGTGGAATTGGAGGGACGCAGTCCTTTCCCCCGCAGATTATACCCTCTGCTTCCTGGCTTTCCTGGAATAGCTCTGGGCAGCAGCAGGCAGTTGTTGGAGCCAGGCTCCACGCACGGCCTGAAATAGCTGCCCCGCAGCCGCGCGCGCGGCCGGGTCTGGGGTCTGGAGATTAGCACGGGGCTGGCTGGGCTGTGTGGGACAGCCAGGGATGGCTCTGCTCGCCCTAATCTCAAGGCAGGGGGTGGGGATGGAGCGGCTGCATTCCTCCAAGCGGCTCCCGCTTCGTTAAAATTAGCCAGAGCTTTCAGCTCGCTCTGGGCCCCTCAGCAGTGCCGGGGCAGCCGGAGCTTGTTGCTATTGTACATGGCTCAAGGGCTGCCCGCTGAGTCCAGTTTGGATGGAGTTGAGCTGATTTTAAACCTCTTAAACCCAGGGTTTGCTGGCGGTCTGGGGCTGCACAGCCCCAGGCTGGTGTTGCTGCTGTGGCTGCAGAGCTGCCGGTGCTGCCTCAGTTTCCCTGCCTGCAAAGCCAGGAGCTGCAGGCACTGGGGTGGTCTCAGAGGCTGCTGCCAGACCCCAACCCTCAGCACCCATGAGATGACTCTGTGTAACCCCCCGTGCGTGAGGGTTTATTGCCAGGTTCTGAAGGGGCTGATCTGTGGCTCCTGCTGCCTTCAGCTCAAAGCTCACGGCTGCTCCAGCTCCTTAGATGGGCGAGGAGACCTTCTCTGAGGGCCATCACTTCTCTCCCTTTCAATTCTTTCCTTTCGAAACACTTTTTGTTACGTTTTTTTCCCAGCAGCTCATCCAGTGGCTGCTTCCTCTTTCCCCCCACCCTCGTGGATTCTGCTCTGAGCTGGGACTTCCAGCTAAGAGCTGGGATCCCCTTTTCCTTGACCACCCCAGACATCCCGGTGACTAAACTTTTCCTCGCTGTGTCGTTGACGGAGGAACCCCCCGGCTTTGACCTTCTCCGGGGCGGCAGCCGTTTGCAAACAGTTAAAAACGGCGGGGCCGGGAAGGGGTGTGAGCGCGGCACAAAGGAACACACCATCGCGCCGGGGCCAATGAGCGGGCGAGCGCGTCACGGCAGCCGCCTCCGAGCGCCTTAATCACCTCGGCCTGGGTCAGGGGTTACTCTCAGTCACTCCTCAGTGTCTGCCCGGAGCTGCCGGTCAGCCCTGGCCGGGGCTGAGCATCCCGGTGTCGGGGCTGGGGTGACCCACGGGGAACCGGCGCATCTGACGTTCAGGCGCCCACGGGCAGCGTGACGCTCTTCCCGCCGCTGCTCTGGTGATTCATTCAGCATTTCCCCGGGCTCCACGTATGTGCTCGGCGATAAGCGGCAGCAGAGGAGGGGCTGGAGCAGGCTCGCCCCTTTCCTCCCCCCACCTCTTCCCCGAGAGGGTGACGTGGGTGCGGAAGAATGTGCATGTGTTGGGTCCTGTGCAGCGCCTCTGTCGCTCTCCATCCATGGAGATCCAGTTTCTCGATCTACCCCCCCTCCCACCTCCCTGCCCGACTTTAAATTTAAACTTTGCGTCCTGTACGTCAGCCCCGACGGAAAGATCTCACTGTACCCTGGCAGTGCAGGGCCAGCTCTGGCCGTGTGTGGATCGGTCCCGTGCCCAGTTCTGCTGGATCCGCTCCAGGACGCAGCCTCCTGGAGTTTGTGGAGCTCAGGATGCTCGCAAATCACCGAGCAAAAATCCATCTCCTAAACAGATGTGGATGTGACCTCAACACCTGGCTCGCTTCCCTCCAGGAGGAGGAATTCCTCCTGTGCTTCCTGGAGTGCTGTGGGGTCCTGGGAGCCTGTGGTGTCCTCGGGGTGCTGGTACAGGGCAGAGCTGTGTCCTGGCTGTCCTGCACCAGGACAGCGGTTATGAGATCCCCTGGATGAAGTGAGCAGGTGCCCTGGATGGCTTCTTGCTCCCATCACCTTTGCTGGCTGGTCTTGCAGGGACCAGCACTTCAGCAATCCCCTCTGATCCTCTGTTGTGTTTTGCATCCCATGCCCCTGCTCCCACAGCTCTGGGAAGTTGGGCAGAGGTGGAAGAAGGAGCCAGGCTGCTGCTGGCTGGTGGTTTGCCCCATTGCTGCCAGCAGAACTAGAGTGACCCCAGGACCAGGGCTTGGGGTGGCCTGGCAGCAAAGCCAAGCTGGTGAGAGGTTTTTGGCTGCTGGGGAGCACGGCTGAGCTGCCTGGCTGTCCCCCAGCTGCTCCTCAGCTCTTGCCAGGATGAGGGAGGTGATTGCATCCTGCTGAACACAGCAGTGCTGCCTGGGGAAGAGGTTGGGTCTGAGGGTGGAAGCCAAAGGCAAGAACAGATCAATCACTTCCATGGAAGGAGGTATGTCTGTTCTTGCAAGTAAAGCTCTTCCCTGGAAGTCTGAGTCAGCCCTTTCCACCCTGTGACACCCGAGCTGCTGCCTTCAGCCTGGTTTGGATCACCCCTGGGGCAACCACCTCCTGGCCAAGGGTTGGAGCCGGGTGGGCCACGCTGGGGCAGCTCAGGAGCCCCCCAGATTGGGTACCTGAACCCCACTGGATGTGTGGAAGCAGGGGGACCTGGGCTGGTGGGGTTACCCAGGCCCTGTGTGCCCATGAGACTAACACTCTGCTCTCCCAAAGGATCATCTTCTCCACCCCATTCGCTGTCATCTCCTACATCCTCATCTGGTTTGTGCCAGACATCTCCAGAGGCCAAGTGATGTGGTATCTTGTCTTCTACTGCGTCTTCCAGACCCTCGTGACAGTGAGTTGGGCTCTGCACACACCAGGGATGGAGGGGACCAGTCCCTGCCTCCCCCATGTTGAGCTGCACGGAGGGGCAGGTCCTCCCCTGCCCCAGGTCCCCTGGGCTGTTACACTTTCCCTGAGCCAATTCTCCTTGTGCCATTGCAGTGCTTTCACGTGCCTTACTCAGCACTGACCATGTTCATCAGCAGGGAGCAGAGCGAGCGGGACTCGGCCACTGCCTACCGTAAGAGTTCCCCCCCTTGTTCCTCCCTTCCTCCTCCCCTTCCCCCCAACTCTCACTAGGGAGATCCTCCTTATAAACCCTCCTGCAAGGGCTCCTTTGATTGCCCCTCCATCCCGAGGGTGGTGTGTGATGATCATTCAGGGCTCGAATTGCAGCTGGTCCAGCTCTTCCCGTTCCTCTTCCCTGGCTCCTCCAGCAGACATCCTTGTCTGGTCTGATGTGAGCTGGGCTGAAGGGGAGATGATCCCTGTTATGGCTCTGCCTGGAGCAGATGATGGGGAGTCTGAGCTCCTGAGCTTTTCCTCCTGCTCCATCATGCAGCAGTGGGAGCCACATGACCACAGCTTGGCTTGTCTCTCTGACTCAGTTTCCCCAGCAGGCACTTTCCTTCCCTGTGGCTTCATCATGTGGGGATTTGGAAGGAGCTGTAGCAGAGCTGAGCTGGCTCATTTCTCCCAGTGAAGGGCAGTGAAGGGCAGCTGGGGAGGCTCTGCTGTGGATGAGGGTTTGCACCCACGCCCTGGGTGCCCAAGGGCTGTGCTCAGTCCCTCTGGCTTCTCCCTCCAGGTATGACTGTGGAAGTGCTGGGCACTGTGCTGGGCACCGCCATCCAGGGCCAGATCGTGGGCAAAGCAGACACTCCCTGCATCGAGAGCCCCCTTTTCTTTGGCATGACCAACTCCTCGGTGGCCCTGGAGGAGCTAAACATGACCCACGACACCGGCTCACTCACAGACACCGTAAGCTGAGGGGGGGGAGACCCTGCCATGTTTCCTTGCCCTTTGGACCAGGCTGATTCCTGGGATGAGCCCCTTCCTCACCTGTCCCCCCTCTCTCTTGCACAGAGAAATGCCTACATGATTGCTGCGGGGGTCATCGGGGGGCTCTACATCCTCTGTGCCTTGATCCTGTGGGCGGGCGTGCGGGAGAAGAGAGGTGAGGCTCAGGAGGTGCTGCAACACCCCACACCTGTGGAAATGCTGTGGTTCCTTCCTCTCCAGGAGCCTGGCTGAGCCCTTGGCCCCTCATTCACGGGTCAAGCCCCAGAGGAGAGGAGTGGGTAGAGCTGAGCTCTGGGTCTGGGGGCCCAGGGAGGTGCTGCATAAGGGAGGAGACTAGAGCATCTCGAGTGTGTCAGGCACAGCCACGAGGGCTTAGCTCTGCTCTGCATTGTCAGAGATAACCTTTATCTTGCACATTTTTGGCTGGCCAAGGTTGCCAATGCCAATTAGGATATCCCAGGGTGATGTGATATCCAAAGTCCAGTAGCTTCTGTCCTTCCCTCCCCCTGCTTATCCCATGAGGGATCAGCCAGGCCGCCCTCTCTCCCCCATGGGGCTGAGGGACCCCTGCATGAGGGCAGGGATTGCCCTGACTCCCCTGGGGTGGGGTGCTGTAGAGGGGCAGGGGTTTGTGCAGGGTGCTGAGCAGCAGGATGGGGCCCTGCACCCCTTGCACCCAGGGGTGCTGTTTCGGTGGGACTAACGATGGGCTGATTTGCTCTGCTCCCCAGAGTCCTCTGAGCTCCAGTCGGACGAGCCTGTCTCCTTCTTCCAGGGGCTGAGGCTGGTGATGAACCACGGTGCCTACATCAAGCTCATTGCTGGCTTCCTCTTCACCTCGCTGGGCTTCATGGTGAGCTGGAAGGACTGGGGAGAGGGAATGGCAGCAGCACAGCTTGGGGGTGGCTGCAGGGACGATCCTGGTGGGCTGGGAGCATGTGAGGTGGCAGCTCCCTGGGCCGGAGCTGCCCCAGGGCAGAGAGGAAGGATGTGGCCTCGTGCCCTCGGATGGATCAATGAATGGCCACTTTCTTCCCCTGCTTGTGCCCGGGGTGCAGCTGTGGGAGGAGGAGCGTGTCCCCCTGAAGAGGTGGGGTGTCCCCCCTAATCCCTGTCTGCCTCCTCCACAGCTGCTGGAGGGAAACTTTGCCCTCTTCTGCACCTACACCCTGGGCTTCCGCAACGAGTTCCAGAACATCCTCCTGGCCATCATGGTGAGTGTGGCTCCGTCCTGGAACGTGGTGGGATCCAGTGGGTCCCCCCTGGGAACTGGCATGGGATGGGAGCTCGGGGCAGGGAGGCCATGGGGCTGTGGTGCTCTGCCACAGGGATAGTGATCAAAGATCCCCTGGGAGAAGGGGAGGGAGAAGAAGCTGCCAAATGTCCTGCAAAGGCCTGGTGGGTTGGCAGGAACAGCAAGGCCTTTGTTCCTGAATGAAGGCGGCCAGAGACAGGGCAGACCAGGAGCCATGGGGGCCTTTTGTCCAAATCCTGCTACTTATCTCCCTTCCCCCTGCTTCGAGAAAAGGATCTCAGTGTTTACTGCCAGGAAGATGGAGCAAAACAGCTCCTTGAGAGCCCTTTCCAGATTGCCTCATCCCTGGGAGCACTTCCCACCCTCTCCTCAATGGGGTGAAAAGGCCCAAGGTGCCATGTTTCCCCCCAGAGCCTGGCTCCCGGCCATGCTGTGCCTGTGGTGACAAGATCAGGTCCCTTCCCAGCACCCAGGACTGAGTTGGGTCCTCCCTATGTTTGTGCAGGTGTGGTGCCAGGGTTCTCCACGCTGGGGGAGGAGATGGCCCCACACACACGTGTGGCTTCATGCCAGCCCCAGAAGCATGTGGAAATCACGGGTGCTGGGAATGTGATGGGAGGAGGCTGTGCTCAGGAGCTGCTTCTTGCTGGGAAGAGCTTTTCCCCAAGAGGAGAACCCTGTGACACTGTGTGACCTTCTCTTCCCATAGCTGTCAGCCACTCTGACCATCCCCTTCTGGCAATGGTTCCTTACCCGCTTTGGGAAGAAGACAGCTGTCTACGTGGGCATCTCGGTGAGTGGGTCCCTCGGGCCTGGAGGTGGATCCCACATGGGATAAAGCAGAGCTGTGTCCCTCTGAGAGGGCCCAGAGCTGGGCAGGGGCTGCTGCTAAGGATGATTTGGTGCCTGTCCCTCATTCTGCTGTTTGTGCTGCTGTGGATGTGGCCAAAGCCAGCAGGGAAGGTGCTGTGGGGCTCAGGAGTAAAGGCAGCACCACTGGTTCCCTGGCTGTCCCTGCGGTCGGAGGGCTGGGATGTGTGGGAGGGAAGGGGAAAAGGCAGGGGGTCTGGGTCAGGCATTGCTGATGCCAGCCTGATTTCTGTCCCCTCTCCAGTCTGCCATCCCTTTCCTCATCCTGGTGGCTGTCCTGGACAGCAACCTCATCGTCACCTACATCGTGGCTGTCGCGGCCGGGATCAGCGTCGCAGCCGCCTTCCTGCTGCCCTGGTGAGTGTGAGGAGGGCCTGGTGCTCCCAGCACTGCCCCCCAGGGCTGGGCAAGGTGCTTCCAGGGCCTGAGGGGGGGTTAGAAATTCTTGAAAGGCCACTTTGCAGTGTTTTCAGTCCAATATGGGCCTATTGAGGGAAGTCCTCTCAGCAGAGAGGAGGTGCTCTGTTGGCCCAGTCCTGATGTTCACCATCCTGCTCTCTGCACAGGTCCATGCTCCCAGATGTCGTAGATGACTTCAAGCTGCAGCACCCTGGCTCCCATGGCCATGAAGCCATCTTCTTCTCTTTCTATGTCTTCTTCACCAAGTTTACCTCTGGGGTCTCCCTGGGCATCTCCACACTCAGCCTAGAGTGAGTTCTTGCGTGGGAGCTGAGGGGTGGTGGCAAGGGAGGGAGACCAGTCTTGCATCTCTACATCCAGATATCTCTGCTTCCCAAGGGCTGGGAGGGAGTTGAAGGGCTCTGAATCCAGTTGGTGCTCCAAACCTCTCCCTGCAGGGATGAATTCACCTCCTAGAAACCCCATTTCCTCTGCCTGAAGGTACCTTTCTGTCCACAGCTTTGCAGGGTACCAGACCCGGGGCTGCTCCCAGCCCAGCGAGGTGAACTTCACCCTGAAGATGCTGGTGTCTGCTGCACCCGTGGTGCTGATCCTGCTGGGCCTGCTCCTGTTCAAGCTGTATCCCATCGATGAGGAGAAACGGAGGAAAAACAAGAAAGCTCTGCAGGATTTAAGGTGAGTGCCAGCTGTGCTCCCCAGCTGGCAAACGTGGTGTGCCAGCATGTGGGGGTGTGTGGGGGCAGGACCAGGCGGGTTGGGACACACTATGACTTGTCCAGGAATCCTTCAGGACCCGTGGGTGGTGGGGTGAGGGAAGGGCTGACTTGTTTTCCCAATCCCAACTTCCAAAGAGGTGGCGTGAAGTGTTGGGAAATCAGCAGGAACCCGCCCCAGTTGCTGCACAAAGCTTGTCTGGGGACATCCCTCTTGAGCCATTCAGAAGCTCCTATGCTCCAAGGCAGGTATTGCTGGGATGCAGAGCTTGCTCTATGGCTCATTCCATGCCTCCTTCCCAACTCTTTTCCCCAGGGGAGAGAGCAACAGCAGCTCAGAGTCGGACAACACAGAACTGGCCAGCATCGTGTGACCCAGGCCGGGTCTGTCCGCTCCCACCGGGGCTCTCCGAAGGACTCTGCCTCTCTGGGCTGGCCCAGCCTTGTGCCAATGCAGGTGTCTGCCTTTGGAGCACCTGGAGAAGCCGTGTGGAGCATCCACCACCTGGAAAACACGGGATCTGTGCCGGTCTCGTGCCTTCCACGGGATGCACAGAGCGCTGGTAGTGTACATTACACACGCTGAGGTACTCGTGTGCCTCACTGGACACAAGCACTGATCCTGCCGGGGGCCTGGAGAGCAGAAAAGGCCGAATTGGGATCATTTTGCCTGGAACACTCGTGCCCACTGCCCCTCTGTGCCTGGCCCCCGTGGGCTGTGACCTGGGGGACAAGGGTGATGGTTGGTGTACATTACACTGTCGGTGTGCCCGCGCCGAGCACGTGAGCTCACCTCTGCTGTCTGTACATAGGACACTAATTTGGGAACCTGTTCTTTTCTTTTTTATATGGCCCAATTAACTTAATGATGTAAATATGAAGCTGTTTCCTGTTTGTATATATCTGTACAGAAACCGAACTCGAGGACCTGTTAATATTAATTTACATAAAAGTGGGGGAAGCCAGCAGTGGGTGTGAAGGATTTTTTTTTATTTTTTTTTGCTTGGCTGGGTTTTTTCATGGCTGTCAGCAAGCCCAGGGTCCCTTTACACGCCATGGGGTGCAGGATTGACTTTTCCTGAGCCGTGGCACAGGAATGCCATAATCCAGGCAGCCCCTTTCCCCCGTGCAGCTCCCTGCTCGGTGCCGCGGCGATCCAACAAAGGCTCTATTATTTTCTCCTTTTCAAGGGGGAACGGGGGTGGAGGGAGGAATTAAATCAAAGTGCTGCCAGCGGAGACCATGAACCCAGGGCTGGAAACAGGAGAGGCAGCTGGGGAGCGGAGAGAAAGGGAATGCAGGCTGTGGGTGACACTCAACACTCCCTCCCAGGGCAGAGGGCCGTGGGAGCACTAATCTCCGTGGATATTTATATCATCCTCTTGCATTCCCTGTTCCACAGCAGCAATGGGGGAGAGCCCTGCCTTCCCCACGCCTCCAGCAGCAAGTGTAACTCCAAGGAAAAGCAGGCTGGAATCAGTGCAGGGAGGATGCACCAGGGATGAAGCAGGATGGGGTGAATTCCAGTGCTGGCTCTGCTCTGTCCCCAAGGCCACTGTGCCAGGGGACAGGGTTGCTGCCTTTTGTTAAGCACATTTGTCACACTGAGAAGTTGGGGGGGTCAGGGCTGAGCTGAGAGCAGGGGGCTTAGTGGGGCTCATCCTTTGTTCCACATTTGGGTACAAAGGACTGGAACGAGGATCGGGTTTAAAAATAGCCCAGAGGGATTAGACCTTAGCTGGGAATGCTTAACTGGGCCCCACTCTGCCACCATGGTCATGGAAAGAAGGAAAAGGGATGATGGGAGGAGGCTGGGAGCTGGCTTTGGTGATGAGCAGGGGCAGGAGGCAGCGCTGGCCCTGGCTGGGGTGCTCCCTGCTTTCCCAGGGATGCAGCTTGGAGGGAAGGAACGCGGGCAGGACAAGATGGGGACAAAGCCAGCAGCCCCTGTGGCATGGCAGGTGGGTGTCATGTGCACCCTCTGTGAGAGGAGAAAGAGGAGGGCAGGGCTCCAGCCAACACAGAGCTCGGGACTGTTGCAAATTTGCTGACCCCTGCCCTGCTCCTGGCCAGGATTGCCGGGAGTTATCCCGGCCACTGCCATGACCTGGCTGCCTCCGAGGGGTGTGGGCAGTGCTGCTGCCTCCAAGGATTTGAAAGATTGATGCTAGCTTTTGTTTTCAAAGAGCTTCAACAGAAATAAGGGACATTTTATTCTCTGCCTCCTTGTTTTCTTGGCTCTGTGGGGCTCATGAGGAGTCTGTGTTCAGGGTTTTTTGCAGCCAGCTCAAGAGACTAAAACCAGCCGGAGATTGAAGCGGGGCCCGGACATTCCAAGCAGAGCACACCTCTCCTATTTGAGGCTTTTAAGAAAATAGAGTTGAGAGGAAAAAATGACCATGGCAGTCGATAACACTTGAGCCCTGGGCAGAACTCCAGCCTCGAAGCTGAGATCTTGCTCCAGCTGTGATTACAGAGGATTTCAGTCCAAGCACAGAGAAAGCCTCTGGCATGGGAAGTCTGCCTGGCAAGAAACACAAGGGGAGAGGTTGCCCGCATGTACAGCTGCACTATGGCTTAATCCACATGGACTTTGGGATGGAGGAAATGCATCCAAGTGCTGGGAAGCACCTCCTTGCCAGCTGGAGTGACAGCTGGGTGTGACCTGTGGGTGAGCCTCGTGCCTGGGCTGACGCAGGGGCAGTGCTGTCCCTGTGGAGCCAAAACCAGGACAGGGAAAACACAGGGTCTCAGCTGTGTGCTCCCACCTGCTGAGCTGGTGCCTCTCACTGCACATGGGCTGGGGCTTTGCTTCCCGGGAATCAGCTGCAAGGGCTGAGAATGGGCCCTGAGTCCCAGCTTATGGGCTCTAACAGGCTGCCAGGGGAGCCTTCCCTGAACTCAGGGGGCACTGCTGCCTGTGCAGGAACAGAGCAGAGGGTTTCTGGTCTGCTCAGGGAACCAGATGACTGCAGAAGGGACAACAAGCAAATATCAGTTATAGCTCTGAAGGGCAGGATGTGATCCTGCAGAATTGGATGTGCATCCTCTGATGCCAAGGTGGCTTTGCCAAGAGGCAGAACCATCCTGGCCAAGGCAGAGGCAGCAGGAGGGACTGCAGGGACAGTCCCCAAGGTGAGAGCAGCCATGCTGGGTCTGTTCACCCTGCAGGGGATAAGTGGAAGTGTGGAAAGTCTCTCCTTGCAGAGGGTGAGGAATAACCACCCTCCTTATCTGCAGGGAAAGGGCAAAAAGCCTCGGGTTTATCTCCCAGCTGGATTTGTGAAACATTCCAATGGCTGCTGCTGGGGATGGTTTTCCCTGCCCCAGACTGCAGCAGGAATCACCCAGGGCTGGTTTCAGACACCTCAACATGAATCAAGCATCCTTGGAAAGGGGTGTCACCCCACCGTGCTGGTACAGTCTCTGTGACTGGATCAGGGAAGAGATCCAGCTGGAAATTAGCTCAGCCTGGAAAGCTCTGGGGAGAAGCAGGAATGCTGGAGCTGGGAGCTCAGGACAGGTGTTGGCCGGTGGGTCATGGTGAGCAGACACACGTCCCTGGCTCGCTGGGCTCTGTCACCAGCTGGAACCAGGGCCAGGTGGGCAGCAGGGAGGCATTCCTGGGAACAGCTGTCCCCAGGGGTCATCCTGTCTGTGCCACCGCGCTGAGGTCACTCACTTCATCTGCAAACACAGACTGAAGGCTGCCGACCTGTTCTGGTGGGCTTTGGTTAATGTTTTGCAAGGCCACTGTTCCTGAGGCTGGAGGCAGCCACAGCACTGCAGGGTGTGCACAGAAATGGTGGGGCAGTGAGATGATTTCTTGCTATCAAAAATCTGTTTTCACAGGAATGAAGCTGCGCTGCAGCTCAGACAAGTGCACCACAACAGAGCAGGGACAAGAGCTCTCCTGGAAAAAGCCAAAGGGTGCTGCCTAGGGGACACAAAGGAATTTTTAGCTATAGAATGGCTAAAAAAATGAAGAAAATATTCCCTTAGTGCTTGGAGAAAAGGGGGATGAGGCACGAAACACCTGGCAGCAGCATGGGGAAGGTGCAAGCTTTGCCCTGGAGACAGGGCAGGGATGGCACAGCTTTATAGGCACTGGGAACCCCCCACAGCTCACTGACCTCACAGCCCTTCTGCAAACAGGCAGCTCTTGTTTAGGTGCCAAAGGGTTTATCCTGACCCAGCCTTACCAGGAACTTGATTTTTGTTCCTCCAGGAACTGTGCTCAGCTGAACAGACCCACCCAAAGGCAAACACCCCGACTGGGGCTGGGCTGTGATATCCCCAGTGGGCAGAGCTCTCCCTCTCCCCATCCTCTGGTTACTTCTAGTTCCCCTCCCTGTTCTCTGGTTATTTCTCCTTCCTCTTCCCAGTCTTGCTTCCTCCCCACAGACACTGCCCTGCACTGCTGAGGCAGGATGGAGCTGGTGTTTCACTCCAGTGACTGTTTTAGGATGCTATAAAACAGAACTCATTGGCTGCGTGGCAAAGAGGTGGTTGCACCTTGTTTTCTATTTTGCATCATGCCAACTGATCCTGAGGTGTCTGATCACGACGGAGACATGGCAAGAGGCACATCAGGGGGGGAAATGAGGCAAGAAAAGCAGCAAACAGTCTGAGTGAGCGTAGGGAGCTGTAGGGAGCCTCAGCCGGTCTGGGAAGGAGGAGGAGAGGGCAGTGGTGGGTCCTGCTGGGCTGGATGTGCTCTGCCAGGGCAGCGGCTGCACGGAGGGGAGGGGGACAGTGGGGAGTTGTGTGTTCCCAAGGGAGGGGGACAGTGGGGAGCTCACCCAGCAGACACACAACTCCCATCCTCTGGCTGCGCACAGAAATCCAGCCCTGGGAGGGTTTTGGATGCCGCCCCAGTAGGAGCTCAAAGCCGGAGGATGCAACCTCACTAGATGTCAGCAGAGCCTCGCTCCCGGCGGTCCCGCTGCCATCCCCGGCCGGTCCCAGGCTCGCTCGGGATCCCAGTCCCAGCCGTGACCATCTATGGTAGCGCAGCGAGCGCAGGAAGCGGCGCTGGGGGCAGCCGAGCTCGGCGGGTTTCTCCTCCTTCCCATCCTGTCAACGTGTCCCAGCCCTCGCCGGGACGGACACGCCGTCTGTTTGTCTGCACAGCCCCCCAGCTCCGTCTGTTTGTCTGCACCAGACCCCCGGCTCCGAGGGTGGGTTCAACCCTCTCCCCAGGGCGGCTGGGATCCGAAAACAGAGAGAAAAGCAAAGCTCTGGTCCCCACTGCTGCCCTTTCCCTAACCACGGCAGCAAACACACCTTTTTGGAGCAAGTCCTGCCCTGATGGTAAAAGCAGACAGTGGAGCCTCCTGTGGGAACAATCCTAAACTGAATCCATGGATGTCTTACTCCATCCAAGTTATTTTCCTCTTGACCACCCCAATCTCGGTGTCTCCAGCAACAAAGATGGGACAATATTTATCCACCCTCTGACAAGTGATTCAAGACCCCCGGGGGTCTGTGAGCTCAAGGCTCTGGAGTGCTCCATACCCCTGGAAGCACAGGAGCCTTGCAGGAGTTTTTTAATGCTTGGGATGTGCCAGCACTCCCCACAGAGCCACCAATGACAATCACCCCTGGCACAACACATCCAGGGCCCAGAGCCCCCCCAGATTTACCCTGAGAGAGGGTGGAGCTGCTTCAGTGGTTCCATGAGGACCTTTCTCCCACCCTGAACCCACCAGACGTAGCTTGGAGGGGCCTTGCCCTCAGCCCCTGCTGTTGTAGCCATTTGGAAGGACCCAATGATCCCTTCCACCTCCTCCCAGCCCCAGCCCAAACCACTCCCTCCTCAGCCAAGTGCTGTCCCTGCAAGAGCAGAATGATACTGACCCCAAAGGGGGCTCATCCCACCCAGTCCCACCCCGGGGGCCCAGGGTGCAGCCCCAGCCACATCTCCAGGGCCCCGACCTCCAGCCCAAACCCCCTCCCAGGGGGGCCC